AAGCAAAATCAATATGCAATAGCCATTTTAACTCTTCAGCCTCCCTATTTTTAATTTCTATTTTTCTTCCCCTTTGTTTTTGTTGTTTTTTGTTTTGTTTGTATAATCTTTGTTCCTTTTTTTACACCCCCCCCTCCTTATTTATTTTTTTATTACTATTTTTTTTATTATTATTATTTTTTTGTGCATGTGTATGAGGGTATGTGTGTGTATGTAGGTATGTATGTATATATTTGTGTATGTGGATGCATGTATGCATGTATGTATGTATGTATATATATATATATATATATATGAATGTATGTCTATGTATACATGTATGGATATATGGGTATGTGTGTATACATGCAGGTATGCGTGTATGAATATGTATGCACGTGGCAGGTGGCACGCAGGTGGCTCTGGATCAAAAGAGCGGAGCCGTGGTTAAATGCTGCTAGGGCACAAGCTGAGGCCTGATCAACTTCAGCTGGGTCGCCTGAAGGAGGGTGTCTGATGTTTCGAAAGACCCGAAACACCCAATGAGATCAGGAACATCACTGATGATGTGCCCTAGCTTAGCATCAGAAGGTGTATCGTTACAACTGTCAATCTGAAGAAACCAGTGACTACCAGGAACAGACTGGTTGACAACCAAGAAAAGGTTGGTGACATCTGGAGAGGCAGATGGCAGCTCGGGAAGACGGCAACCGGGGCGGTATGGGCTAGCACCCCTAGCCGCAGCCTCTGTGAAGAGGAACCCAAAACTAGCTACGGAAAAATTAAATGATCAATACCCCCAGGGGAGCCCGAGAGGGGGGGAGAAAGAGAACCCCAGTCAGACGGACCTAAGGTTATCGACCAACAGCAAAGGAAAAACGACTACGAGTGCGGTTTGTCAATGTGGAAAGATTTGTAAAAATGCAAGAGGCTTGAAGATCCATCAGTCACGGATGAAATGCCTGGAGTCACGGCAAGAACCACAATGCACAGGCTTAGTGCCTGGTGAGTCAGAGGAGGAGCAGGGCCTGGAAGAACCCCATAGAGCCCAGAGCCTCCACGTGGTACAAACTGTCCCCCCAGTCATGCAGCCCGAGAGGAGGAGGATCAGGTGGCCTCAAGCATGTAAAACAACTGAGTGGCAGAAGTTTGATGAGGATGTGGACAAGGTGCTGGAAGCAACGGCCAAAGGTAATGCAGAGAGGAGGCTGCAAACTATAACCACCCTCATAGTGAGCATGGCAGTTGAGAGGTTTGGTGTGGAGGAGGTGAGAGGGGTAACAAAGCCATACACCAAAAACCAGAGGGTAAGGAAAATTCATAACATCAGAATAGAGCGATGCCTTGATAACACCACCAGAGCCTGTAAAGGCATTCGACCTGAGGGAGCCATTCCTGAAAGAAGTACAGGAAGTAGTAAGGAAGGCAAGGTCTGGGTCTGCACCAGGACCAAGCGGAACATCATATAAGGTGTACAAGTACTGCCCCAAGCTTCTATATCGCCTGTGGAGGATCCTAAAAGTCATCTGGAGGAAAGGGAAAACTCCAAAACAGTGGCGGTGTGCAGATGGAGTATGGATCCCAAAAGAAGAGGACTCCAAGATCATCAGCCAGTTTAGAATCATCTCGCTTTTGAGTGTTGAAGGAAAGATCTTCTTCAGCATAGTCGCAAAGCGGTTGGCAGAGTTCTTCCTAAAAAATGGATACATCGACACCTCTGTGCAGAAAGGCGGCATACCAGGTGTTCCAGGCTGCCTAGAGCACACAGGCGTGGTTACACAGCTCCTCAGAGAAGCAAAGGAGAATAAGGGTGATCTGGTGGTGCTGTGGTTAGACCTGGCCAACGCCTATGGCTCTATGCCCCACAAACTGGTACAGGAGGCTCTGGAGAGGCACCATGTTCCTGCTTTAGTGAAAGCCCTTATCCAGGATTACTACAGAGATTTCAAGCTGAGAGTCTCATCTGGGTCAACAACATCAGAGTGGCACAGGCTGGAGGTGGGAATCATCACAGGCTGCACCATTTCAGTGATCCTGTTCGCTCTTGCAATGAACATGTTGGTGAAATCTGCTGAACCGGAGTGCAGAGGGCCCAAATCCAAGACTGGAATGCGCCAACCACCAATCCGTGCCTTTATGGATAACCTCACAGTGACAACGGAGTCAGTGCCTGGAGCTAGATGGATCCTGAAGGGTCTGGAGAGGGTGATGGAATGGGCCAGGATGTCATTCAAGCCAACCAAATCCAGATCCTTAGTGCTAAAGAAGGGCAGGATGGTGGAGAAACATCATTTTACCATCTCAGGAACTCAAATTCCAACCCTGTCTGAAAAACCAGTAAAAAGCCTGGGAAAGATCTTCGACAGCAGCCTCAAGGATACAACATCCATAAAAAACACCTGCGAGGAGCTGGAGAGGTGGCTGAAGACTGTCGATAAAACTGGGCTCCCTGGAAAATTTAAGGCATGGGTGTACCAACATGGGATTCTGCCAAGAATAAAGTGGCCTCTGCTCCTGTACGAGTTTCCGATCTCCACCATCTCAGAATTGGAAAGGAGAGTCAGCCGCTACCTAAGAAGATGGCTGGGTTTCCCGAGGTGCTTAACCAGTATCGCCCTTTATGGAAACACCTGCAAGCTGCAACTCCCGCTAAAATCCATCGAAGAGGAGTTCAAGGTCTTGCGTGCAAGGGAGGTGCTGCAGCTCCGTGAATCTAGGGACCCTAAATGGAGGGCAGAGGTGGCAGTAGACCAGGCTGAGTCACGGCTACACCATGGTGTCCTAGTGGGAACAGTGGCCAGAGGAAGAGCTGGGCTAGGAACCTTTCAAGGACCCCGGTTCGACAAGGCTCGTGGAAAGGAGAGGAGGCAGCTAGTACAAAGGGAGGTGAGGGCGGTAGAAAAGGAGAGGTCCAGCAAAGCAGTGGGAATGGCACGTCAGGGTGCCTGGATTAGATGGGAACAAGCTGTGGAGAGGAAGATCACGTGGACTGACCTTTGGCGGGCAGAGCCACACCGCATCAAGTTCCTGGTCCAGGCAGTCTATGACGTCCTCCCCAGCCCGTCCAACCTCCACACCTGGGGGCTGGTCGACACACCAGGATGTGCCCTGTGCCAGAGAAAGGGAACCCTTGAGCACATCATGAGCTGCTGCCCAAGAGCTCTGGGGGAAGGCCGATATCGCTGGCGGCATGACCAAAACAATTGCAGAGAGCATCCAGACTACTATCAGCAGCTGCCAGAGGTCAAAGCCCAGCAAACAAACCATCAGCTTCATCGGGGCCGGAGAGAAGCCAGGGAAATCCTTCAGGACAACAGCAGGGATCCTGAACACGGCACAGGATTGGCAACTGAAAGTGGACTTGGGCAAACAACTTAAGTTCCCCCAGCATGTTGTTGAGACCACCCTGAGGCCTGACATTGTCTTGTTATCAGAGGCAACAAAGAACCTGGTCATGTTGGAGCTCACTGTGCCATGGGAAGACCGAATGGAGGAAGCCTTTGAGAGGAAGGAGGAGAAATATGATGGCCTTGTCAGCGACTGCCACAACCAAGGCTGGAAGGCAAGGTGCTTACCTGTGGAGGTGGGGTGCAGAGGCTTTGCAGCGAAGTCCCTCTACGGGGCCTACACTGCACTCGGCATCACTGGTGAGAGAAGGAGAAGGGCAATTGGCAAAACCACAGAGGCGGCAGAGAAGGCTTCGAGGTGGCTCTGGATCAAAAGAGCGGAGCCGTGGTTAAATGCTGCTAGGGCACAAGCTGAGGCCTGATCTACTTCAGCTGGGTCGCCTGAAGGAGGGTGTCTGATGTTTCAAAAGACCCGAAACACCCAATGAGATCAGGAACATCACTGATGATGTGCCCTAGCTTAGCATCAGAAGATGTATCGTTACAACACGTGTATGGGTCTATACGTGTAGGTAAGAGAGATATAGATGCATCCGTATTGCCATCTGTCGATTTTGATTGTATATTTGTATACGTTGGCTCACTTTTCTCGTCTTGTATTATTATTTTGTTTGTTTGTATGTTCATTTGTTTTTTTCTCTTACTGTTATGTTTGTTTACTTGTACTCTTTTTTTTATATTGATTCCTTTAAAAAAAATTTAAAAAAAGAAGAGAAACTTCTCCGACGTGGAGCCGAAATGACCTATTACAATGCATTATTTTACAGCACGTCTTTTGAAATTAGCATTCAATTTCGAATCACGTCACATATATAATAGTGATGATGATGTGATGTGAAGTACCATTCATTCACATTAATAATTGCATGACAATTTGTAATAGTATTCTTCTTATTATTATGATTTGTATTAATGATGCTTATTGTTATTTAGAAGAAGGATGTCGTTGTTAAGAAGAAGGATGTCGTTATTATTATTTGTGTTATTATTATCATCATTTAAAAGAAGCAGAACGTATTTTTTTATTATTTTGTCAGTCTGAATTATTTTTTGGTCATTGAAAGCCTTTCATTAGGCTACCGAACCCAGTCCGTGCGCACCTGCCGGGGATAATCCTGAAACGTCAGGGTAAAGCGGGCTCACAACTGAAGGAATACATATGCTTACAAATCAAATGCTTTGGTAAAGTCACACAAATTAAACATTGAAGTCCACGTTACACAAAAATAAACACTGAAGTTTATAATTACCATGTTGTTTTTTTGTTTGTTTGTTTTACAGTGGGTCATAATATATCATATCTTTTAGTTTGTCAGTGCGTTTTGTGGTGTTAGGAATTTTTCTGCGCATTTCCTCACAAACTCAAAACGTGCGTACACCACCTCCTGAGCGGGTGTAGGATTTGAGCGTGCCGTACGCCCACGTCCATATTGATAAATCGCAAACTCACCGTGGTTTTGAGTGTACGCAAGGTGTACGCTGGAAATTTGGTGTACGCACTTTTGATAAATGAGGGCCAATATATAACCACCCCCCCAAAAAAATAAACACTTTAACATCCTCATCCATAATCTTGTGCATTATAGGGCCGACACATATTAAAATTTTAATTACCATGATATGGATCTTTGCCTTCCCCTTTTGTATGACAAAAGTTCCCCCCAGGGCCACACTCTTCTCCCCATAATGTTCTTCCATGGTCTTTCTCATGCAGCTCACAAGACTGTCCTCTCCAGTCCTTCTGCAGGCTCTCACCACAATGACCTGCAATTGTAGTTATTTCAAACCTTGTTACATTTAAAAGTTTGAGATCAGCATGATTTATGACTTCTGAAGGACTAAAGGCCAATTTATACTTCTGCGTCGAGGGTACGACGCCGTTGTGAGCATTTATACTTCTGCGTTCAGGTCTTGGTTGCTCTGCAGTACTGCTCCGAAACACTAGTTGGCGGCGGAGGGTTTTAATGTTCCACTGTGTTTAGATTCCTCACGGCTAGGTTACTACAAGCAATAGCGACTGAAAGAGAGTGGATCATGTTGGAGTTGGAGCTTATTGAGGTGGAAAAACAGTTCACTTTAGTGAAATTACTAAAACTGAAAGGCAGAAATGAGAGAAGACGTCGGAGGAGATGGTACGTGTGAAAATCATAGACAGTGGTGGAAATGCGTGAGAAGGTACGTGCGGAAATGCGTAGGAGGAAATGCGATGCTACCAAGCCGACCAATCACCGATCTTGCGGTCCGCGTCGTCGCGACGTGTAGTTACATTTTTGAAGAGGTGCGCGTCAGGCGACGGCGAAGAGTACGCGGCATGGGACGCGTCTGTGCGTATGCTACGCCGTACCTACTGCGCGCACCCTACGCAGAAATATAAATTGGCCTTAAGTGACACTGAAGACTGAAGTAATGGTTGCAGAATATTCAGCATTGCCATCACAGGAATAAAATTACAAAACTTAAAAAAAATATATTAAAATATAAAAACAGTTATTTTAAATGGTAATAATACTATTTCACATTTTTACTGTATTTTAGCTCAACTATTTGTAGCCATGGTAAACATAAAATACTTATTTTAAAAACCATTTAAAAACATTTATTGGCCCAAAACCTTTGAAGTGGTTTGGGGTTCCTTTAATAATTATCTGTAGCTCACTCCTAATAATCTTTTCATTACTTATAGCCATTATTAAAGGAAAAACTCCATGTAGTAACTCAATAACAGAACTGAGGGCGTACAGACACGCAAAGTCCCCATGGCTCATACCTTTCCAGGTTTGCCCTCACATGCATAAAGGTTTGCAAGGAGGCCAAAGTCACAGTCATGAAACCTGTCACTATACTTTTCCTGCAGACATTTTCCATCCACTGGGTTGACAGAGGAAAAATAACTCCCATTCACCGCAGGTCTCCCCTCAGCTTCAGTCAGCACCAGAGGCATTAACTAGGAGAAAACAAGACAATACGGTGTTAAAACCCCCATTGAACTCTTTATTAAACCTACAAGAAGAAAAATAGGTTTTATAGTGATATGATTTTTTTGTTTATATTTTGCTGGTAGATACGACAGCATTTTGTATTTTATACCAAAACCACCATATGTAGCACTACGCAGAAGTAAACATTTTCATTTAAGAATGCCACTGCTAATTAAACATAAATTTAAATATATTTGTAAAAGAACTAAAAGGACCGTTATTTTTTTAAGTATTGAAATTCGAATGTGGAAAAACTGCCACTGGTTTTAGAGTAATTATACAGACCTCTCCATTTATCCCAACTGTCTTGGAGGAGACAGCACCAGCCCCAAGAATAAATGCACCAGGCAGCTCCACCTCCTTGGACACAAGGTTCATGTTGTAAACCTTTGAGGGGAATCGGTTAGTTTTACAAATTTGTTTCTTTCTGAAATTACATTTACAGTTCATTAACGCACCTTGTCCAGTTGGACCAGAGGAATCAAATAGGGTACACCTCCCACATCAGTAATACGTGGTTTGCCACAAATACCTAATACAAAGTAACAAATGTTGTTTAAAGAGCCTATTACACCTTGACATATACAGACTTACCGTACATCTGTACTTACCCTTGACAGGAAACTTGAAAGGCTCTTGCGTAAGATCTGGACAGTCGGCAACAGACACTTTTACATCAGAAAAATTATTATTCAGTCCGGTTTCCAGCACTGTAACACACAAACATATTAGTCACTACAAAGTATGGAAGCCCTAAAAAAGTTAGGTGGGGCAGGATCTGCAACGCATTGCAGCGACAAGAGCAATTTTCCTGATGAGGAACTCCTCCACATCATGCCCAAGGCAGTGAAAAGGCTCGGCCTGGAATGGTTTTCCCCCACTGAGCCCACTAGAAGAGTGGTTCCATCAGTCAGGCCACCGCCAGAAAGCTGGTCCTCTGCAAGTGTTTCAGGCCAAGATGCTGAAACACAGAAGAGAATAGCTCTGACTCGGAACTGCAGAGCTCTGCAGCGCCACGGACCTGGCTACAAAAATGTTGGCCATAGTATGAGGAGTCTCATTGTGCTGGACAGACATCTGTGGATTAAGCCAAGTTCACACTACAAGATTTTAAGCCCGATTTGCAAATCACTGAGCTCGCCGACAGGTCAGGGTGTTATCGCGTGCAAATCGCGGGGGATTAGCGGACGGTGAACACTTGCCAATCTGTTAGTTTGAAAGAGCCAACAACACAGCAAAACCGCTCGCAGACGCGTCACAGAGCCCAGAAAAATATCTAGCCTGCTAGATATCCAGAGCCGTCGCACGACTCAAACAGAGTGATGTTATGAGTACAGCCAATCATAGCAACGCATGGGTTGAGGACACCAGGTAAATCTTAATTTTTCTTTTGCATTTTTTTTCAGAGCAGATCGTTGTGCAAACAGTGTGCAGCACTAGTTTCTGTCTGACGTTCATATTCGTGTGTTGTGTTCTCTTCTTTGCTGGGTATTGGCGCATGTGCTGTTTGGAGTCATTTCTGGTTCGTTTTATTGCTGGTTTTTCGTGACAAAATGTGGTTTGTAGACAAGATAGAATCGTTGGGTGACAGTTGTTGTCAACTTGTTATTTATTTGATTATTTTCAGGTTTTAGACAGTACTGAAACAGCTATCATTAGAGTCAAAAATGATTTGCTCTTATCATCTGATCGTGGTTGTATCTCTATGTAGTGCGTTGTCAGTTCGTGCAGTGAGTTACCTCCTGTTGTGGATCAATAATGTGTTGTGTGGTGTGAACAGCTAAACAACTTGAATACTCCTGATTTCACTGAGAGCAGGTCATGTAGTGTGAACCGCACAGTTCAGCCCGACGTTTTAAAATCATGCAGTGTCAACAAGGCATTACCCGGACTGATACTGTATAAAGGACTCTGAGAAAGCTATCCTCCTTACTGCACAGATGAATCCTTATGAGGCCAGTTGCATGAAGTTATTTTCAGTTCCTACCCAGGTTAGTTTAATCAAGCTCTGGTTTTTCTGGCTCAAGAAGGTTGAATGGTTTTTAGCTGTGTTTAGCTGGCATGGTAACTTGCATTCAGGAGCAGGTATTATTCTGGGTAAGAGATTGCAAAACAAAAATGGATTAATCAGCTTTGATATAAGTGACATACAGTATATCAGATGCAATAAAGCCATTCCATCTATATCTCTTGTTCCAAATTAAAGCAACTTATAGTGAAAAATTGTAGACAAAATTGCTTGTCTTTTGCTGCTAATTATTACATAATAATAATGTATAATTTATATAAATTATATCCAAGAGCTGCCCTCCAATGGCAAATTAAACGATCAATGGAGAAGGGCCTTGATTAGAGTGGTGAACAAGAAGCTGGTAGATACTCTAGTTCAGCTCCATGAGAGTATCGTGAGCCCACTGAACCTGATCTAAACCAGATTTGATTTGTATTGTTTTGTCAACTCTAAACCTACTGAATTGCAACAGGCTCTGGCCTTTTCTGAACTGCGGTGGTATCCTTCCCTGAGTGTTTCCTCAAGGTGTAAAAAAAAAAAAAAAAAAAAAAAAATTCTAAATATGTCCTCTCATTTCTCGTCTGTGCAGTGCTCTTAACAGACCGCCACCAGCCTGCTTCAGCTCCTTAGAGGGCGTCTGAACCCGTGATAAGACCTAAGAGTCTAAGACCCGTGGCTTAAACGCTATCCACACACAGGAGGGCTGTGATTCGGCCTAGAAACTAATTCAGAAGTGGAAGAGTTAATTATACAGGCTCGTATACAAGTCGATATATCAGAATGGTGTGACGGGTCTCAAACTCTTCCTGCTAAGGCCGGCCAGTGGGTATGGCCTCATCAAGGGAACGTCGTCCACCTGTTCTTCCCACTGTAAAAGCTTAGGCTGTTTGTTTGTTTAACTTTATCTTGTTGTTTGTTTTGGAGTTTTCTATCTTTGATACACTAACATCCATGCATCAGTCAGACATTACAGATGACCATGTTTACTTGTTTTATAGGCAATATTGTTCTATTTATTTATTCTTGTAAACCAATTATGCCACGGCTTTGAGCCGGTCATAACAATGGTCATGAATTTTATATATCGCTCTCTACAATGTTGGACACATAATGGTAATTAATATGATTAGCCTTTTGCTTGACTACATTACCAAACAGCTAATACTGTGTTGCCAATGTTACACAAACCATGTTCCCGTTCATCATCTCAGTATGCCTTCTAAAAATCAGTATCCTTAGAAACGCTTTTAAAAACTTAGAACATCAGTGGAGAAAGGAAATCATTAACATTAAAACTTTAAAATCATTAACATTTTTGCAGATTCTTCAAGATCTTTGTAAACTTTTGAGCACAGTTTGATTTATGCTGATTGGAACATGTAAACAGACTCTCAAAAGTTATATTAAAATTTTAAATATATTTAATATCGGTGCATCCCTACTAGTTTAAATTGCTTTATTATTATTTCTTAAATAACAAAACTTTAGTGTATTGAAGCAATTTGTGTGAGTACTTCCCAAATGTTAAAAATGTAAAAACAACTTTTTCTTTATTTAATGAAACAAAAATACCTGAACCCGAAGCGATGCAATCTATTTAATAGAATATCTGTTGCGCATAACCAGAGATTGGCATAACCCATATTGGGAGTAAAATACTCCAGCAAATTTCGTTTCATGCCGATAAATGTTTAACATTGATTCTTCAATTCCTCTGCCTTTTATTTAGGATATCATTTCCATCTTTAAGGATTTTTTTTTTTACTATTACGCCTTGAATTTAGCTAGTCTGCTTTAAATACGTTTAAAGATCAAAATGATTTAAAATAGTCACGTTGAACTTTGGACTCAAGTCATTTGGTTTTACTTAAGCACAATGAAAGAAATAGTTAGCCTACACATGCAAAAAAAATGCACACATTAAAATGAAATGCGATAATTACCCTGACATAACTCCTCGAGATTCGGAACATGCAGTTGGAACTTCTCGGTCTTGCTTGTGTTTGCCATCTGTCTTGGTGTTCAATGAGTATTAATCTCTCAATAGTGTTTCAAACTGCCAAGGTCCCGTGATTTCAGTAAACGATGCGTCGTTACATTCTTCTTCTTCTTCTTCTTTTGTTTTATTGGCAACCGCACTTATCAGTGCATTACTGCCATCATCTGGTAGCTTGGATCAAAACCACTTCCTATATTACTTTTTATTTTTTTTTATTTTTTTTATTTATTTTTTTTTTTATTGCAAATTAAAGAAAAAATACAATAACAGCAAACAGAGGAGAAAAAAAAAATACAAAAACAATAATAGAGGGGTTACAGACATCAAAATAGATTGCATTAAGTTATACAAAATAACATATTGCAATTTGTAAAAATAACCCAATTAAAGGTTCTTTACCACAGACTCCAAAATATTATGTGTTCCTATATTACTTAACATTTGATTTCTATCCTTCCCCACCCCTAAAAAAAAAAAAAAAAACCACTGGCGCTGCGTGTTCAGCTCCTCCAGTATCCGCCCCACCTCCCTTTAACTCCCGCTTCTCACCATACTCTTAACCATTCAAATTAGCTTTCCTTACTTAATCCTATATATTAATCCTACAATCTCTTTATTAAACCTGTATTATTCAGAAACTGGAACAACACATCAACTGTACTACTTCCTATGTTTGACTCTAATATATTCTTCAATGTTAATTTCTTCCCTTCACTCCATACTGCTTCTCTTAGCACTTTCCTTTCTTCTTCATAACCCTTACAAATAATAATCACATGTTCCACAGTTTCACTCTGTCCACATTTATCACATGATCCTGTTGGGTGTTTAGCTATTAAATGCAATGTTTTATTCAAACCTGTGTGTCCCACTCTTAGTCTTGTAATTATACTTTCCTCCCTTCTATTTCTCCCTTTTTCCTTCCTTCTCCCACTTTCTTTTGTATTGCATATAAATGTCTCCCTTTACTTTTGTAAGACTGGAAAAACTGGTTAAAGAGAAAATATCTGACCAGTGGCCTCTAAAGACAAAAGGCCTTGCTTGCAAATTAACATTTGACACCCTACCCCCTATTTTCTGAACATCTTATCTGCATCTTCTCTCTTTCACTCTCTCAGTCAATGATACTGAAAGCTCACACAAGATTATGGTTTTAATGTGAATCTGATAATCTTTAAGGATTGTTTAGAATCATTTTGATGGTCTCAGGGTGACTGGTAATAATGTCTCATTCCCAAAGTAATAAAAGAAAAGGTAATAAGGTTTTTAAGAAGTTTAGGAAACACTGTCACATGAAGGAGTGTGGTCTTTGAGTTAACACCTTCTGCCTTGTTGTCTGAATGCAAATTACAACCAAGCAAATGGTCTGCCCCCGATAAACATGGAAGGGGGATTCAGTAACTTTCCATTGTATCCTGGTGATTTACATATCAGGTGAGGTCTGATTATAAAGGGAGATGCAACAAGAGTTCGAGGCTGCTTTCTGTATTCAGATCAGCCCGTGATGTTGTGTCTTCAAGACTCAGCTCATGTAATATGTTGGGTAAAGTTCTTTGTTCTAAAACATTTGATGGTTTGCTCTGATTATCTTGTGGAATTCTAATGATACATTTACCTGACATAATAAATTGTTATATTTGGCTATTCTAACAGACTTTGACTTTATTTTCATTAAGTTAAAAGTAATAGTCAAGCATTAACATATTTAATGATGCACAGATATCATGGAGTCAGATGAAACGAGTTAATACATAAGATTAAATGTGTTGCATTTAATTAACATCACTTTGCCATGGAAAAGACGGAACGCGCTTGAAACCTTCACCACGAATCGAATTCCTCAATTTGGGTCGATTTCGTGGCCCTTTTTACACTTTCATTATCCCAATATTGTTGCCACTTTTTAATCATTTTCTCTTTTATTACTGATTTTTTTTCCTTTATACTATGTGTTATCTCAATTTCTACCATTTCCTCATCTACTGCTTGTTTGGCTAATTTATCTGCTTCTTCATTTCCTTTAATTCCCACATGGGCTGGCACCCACATAAACTGCACTTCTATTTTACTTTGCTTCAACTCAAATAGATTCTGCAGGATCTCCATCATTAAATCTGGTCTTGTTTCTGATTTTTGATTATCAATACTGGTTATTGCTGAATATGAATCTGAACATATGACCGCATTATTAATTCTCCTTTCTTTAATTAATTGAACTGCTAACACTATAGCCATCAGCTCCCCAGTATATACTGATAATTGATCACTAATTCTAGCTTTCCTCCTCACCTGTAATTTTGGTGCATAGACTGCCACGCCTATTCTCTCTCCTCTTTTGGACGCATCCGTGTATATCCGTATATGCTCTCCATACCTACTTCTTAAATACTCATTTGTTTTTACTGCTTCCATCTCATTACTTCCTTCTCTATGTCTCATCTTCAACAAGGTTAAATCTATTTCTGGTTGAGAACAAATCCATATAGGATTATTCGGATGTATTACTCTTGGCACACATCTATTATCTATCCCCATCTCTTTGATATCATCTTCTACCACCCGTCCAAAACTCTTGTATTTCTTCCTCCCTTGTTCCCAACATTCTTCTAATATTTTCCTTGTTGGATGCATCTCATCCTGACTAATTAGATTTGCCCAATAGACAGCCATTAACTGTTGTCTTCTGATATTAAGCGGCATTTCATTTATCTCCACTTGCATTGCTGCTATAGGTGTAGTTGGATATGCTCCACAGCAAATTCTCAATGCCTGTGCTTGAATTCTGTCTAGCTTCGCCAACTGTGATTTTGCAGCCAACCCATATGCCATGCTTCCATAATCTAGCACAGATCGTATCATTGCTACATATACTGTTTGAAGCGCCCCTCTATCTGCTCCCCACTCTTGTCCTGCCATACATTTCATTACATTTAGAACTCTTTTACACTTATTCACGATCTTATCAATATGCCCTTTCCATGTAAGTCTAGTATCCAGCCATACCCCCAAGAATCGAACTGATGCCACTCGTGCCACTTCATTGTTAGATATCTTTATCTTACAATCATTATCTACTTTCTTGTTGGTAAATATAATACTTTGCGTCTTCTCCACAGATAGTTTAAATCCCCACTTATACGACCATTTAACTACCTCATCCACCGCCTTCTGCATTTTCTCCATAATAAACTGTTTATTTCTTCCTCTGAACCACAAAGCCCCATCATCTGCAAACAATGACCTACCAACACTCCTATCCACCTTACTAAATATATCATCTATCATTATTATAAAAAGAACTGGACTTATTACACTTCCCTGTGGAGTGCCATTTTCTACTATTCCTTGAGATGATATAGATTCCCCTACCCTCACTCTTATTACTCTTTCCTTAAGGAAGTCATTAATCCAATTGAACATTCTTCCCCCTATCCCCATTTCCTCCAACTTAATCATAAGACCCTCCCTCCACAACATATCATAGGCTTTTTCAATGTCGAGAAACACAGCAATTACTGATTCTTTGTTTGACAGAGCTTTCTTTATTTCTGCCTCTAAACACATTACCGGATCCATAGTTCCTCTTCCTACTCTAAAGCCACTTTGATAAGGTGTTAATTTTCCTTCTTTTTCCAAAAAATATACTAATCTATCTGTTATCATTCTCTCCATCACTTTCCCTACATGAGAAGTAAGAGCTATTGGTCTATAGTTAGTTGGCATACTAGGATCCTTCCCTTGCTTCCTTATTGGCAGTATCAATGCTTCTTTCCAACTTTTTGGTAACACCCCCCTTTCCCACACTTTATTATAGAACTCTAACAAAACTCTCAACGACTCCTCACTTAACTGTTTGATCATATGATAACTGATTGCATCTTGACCTGGAGTAGTTTCTCTCATTCTCCTCAGTGCTCGTTTTAGTTCTGTTAATCCAAATGGGACATCCATTACTCTATCTCTTTCCTCTTTCATGTCCAACACATGAGGATGTTCTTTTAATATTTCCTCCCTTTCCCTCTTAGATTCTTCAGTCAGATTTTCTGTACTATTTATTTTTATAAATGTCTTACAAAACATTTCTGCTTTATCACAATTTCCTACTGCTATTTCTTCCCCTTCATTTAAAACAGGATATTCCATCTCCTTCCTTATACCATTCATCCTTCTAATCATGTTCCATACTTCTCCTATTGGTGTACTTCTCCCTATTTTATCACAAAACTCTTTCCAATATTGCCTTTTTGCCCTTCTTACCACCTTTTTTACTTGTGCTTGTTCTCTCTTATATTCCATTAAATCTGGATAACTATGCATTCTTCTTACTTTCTTATATGCTCTCCTTTTCCTTCTAATAGCATCATCACACTCCTTATTCCACCATGGTACCATTTTAACCTTTCTTTTTCCTTTACTCTTGGGAATACTACTTACTGCCACCCTTTTAATGACTCCTATAATTTTCTCACTTATAGCGTCTATGTCATCTGCGTTTCTTACTTCATTTATATCCAAACCCTCCACTACAATTTTCTCATACTCAGTCCAGTTAGCCTTCTCATAATTCCACCTTCCTTCTCTTCTCTCACTTCTTTCTACACAATTATTCATATACATTTCAATCAAAATAGGAAAGTGGTCACTACCTATACTACATTTCCTTAAAACCTTCCATCTAATTATGCCCCCTAACCTACTTTTAGCAAGAGTTAAATCCAACACTGCTTCTTTACCTGTTCTCATGTCTACACGTGTACCTCCTCTATCATTTAGACATATCAAGTTCATCTCCTCCATTAATTCTTCAATTACCTGCCCATTCCTGTCAGTTACACTTCCTCCCCACAAACTACTATGAGCATTAAAATCCCCACACCAAATCACCCTCTCTCTGTTTTGCCCCTCTATTTCCACCATCTCTTCCAATATCATTTGTCTACATGGGTTATAAAAATTAATTACTACTACACTCTTATCATCCTTCCATACCTCTACCACCACATACTCCATGTCTCTTCCTTTCCCTACCATTCTATACTGAATATCGGACTTAATGAAAGTAACACACCCACCACCATTTCCCTCATCCCGGTCTCTTCTCACAGAAGCATATCCCTTAATTACAAAATCCAGTTTAGGTTTCAGCCAAGACTCCTGTACAAATATCACATCTGGCTTAGTCCCCATCTTATTTACATAACCCTTAAATTCCAATCCATTAGCCACCAGACTTCTAGCATTCCATTGTAAAATTACTAACATCAATACTATAGTCCATCCCATGACTCTTGACTAGGCTGAATTTCTGAAGTTAGACCTTCTCTAACCATTTCCCATGTTAGCCCTTTGATATCCAGGAACCTCTCTGCTGCTCTCACTATTATTTGTATCTTTTCTGTTCTTCTTTCAGTTTGTGCTGTACAGTTTATGACTTCTGCCATAAATAACACAAAACTCTTTTTACTCACTATCATTGTGCCATCCAATTTGTTGCTTCCCTTTCCTTCATTTCTGTCTCGATCTCTCCATTCCTCATTCTCCTCCCTCTCTTTCTTTTTCCTTGAATCCACTTTTTTAACTGCTTCTGCATATGACAACTTATTTCCATCTCTTTCCTTCTGAATTTCTACTGCTCTCTTTCTAACTTCACATCCTCCATATGCCACATTATGCCCCCCCCCCCCCACAGTTACAACACTTTGCTTCACTTCCTCCACATTCTCCATAGTCATGCTCTTCCCCACAGCGTGCACATCTCTTTTTGGCTCTACATACACTTGCAATATGCCCATACCTCTGACAATTATAGCATCTCAGCGGAGCTCGCACATACTCTCTTACCCGAAAGCTAACATATCCAATCATCATTTTACTTGGAAGTATATCACTACTTTCAAAACGTAACATTACAGAAAGACTTTCTTCCTTATTACCTTCCCTATTCCTCTGCAATCGTTTAGCTTCAATTACATTTCCTCCTTTAATATTCCTCATCAACTCTTTCATACTGATCTCCAATGGCACCCCTGTAATTACTCCACACATCCACGATTTTACACCTATTTGGTTACAACCTGTAATCACTTGTTTACACACAACCTTCATTTTCTTTACCTTATCTCTCTGCTCCTCATTTTCACATATCACCATCAATGCTCCATCCTGAAGCACTCTTGCACATTTAATCTCCCCTGCTTGTTTCCTCAATTCATTTGTTAATTCAATTGGGTTTACTCCTTTTATTCCTTGTCCCTCTTTAAATCTTATAATCATTTTTATTTCCTCTCTCCTTTCATCTATTTCTTCCCTTTCGCTATCATCATCTGTACTTACTGACTCCTCTTCATTATCTTTCTTCCTCTTTTTATTTGCTTTTTCAACACTTTTCATTCTCCCTCCTTCCACCTGTGTCCACTCCATCTCCCTTTCATCTTCAATCTCTGGTTCATCATTTCCAGCTTTAGTTTCTGATCCAACTTCCTCTTTTTTTTTCCTCGGTTTGCCCATCTTCTCTTACCACCGACCTCTCCCAAAAACTGGTCAAAAACTGGCCGCGTCGTTACATCATAACTGTTCTTCTTCTTCTTCTTCTTCTTCTTCTTCTTCTTCTTCTTCTAGGGATTTATTGGCGGGTTGCATACCAACTTTATGGTGCATACCGCCACCACCTGTGCTGGAGTGTGAAGTGATTTCAGTCTAGAAGTATGTTAAAAGATGACTATATTCTAGTCCTAAGACCACTATTCTTTATGAATTTTAAAACTGACCTTACAATTTCCCTGGATCCTTGTTTTGTGTTCAATATGTTATTGATTGTAAATTCTTTGCATCCCATTTCCTTTAGTTCACTTAAATCCTTTCTTTCCAGTTCATACCTGGAACAAAATAACAACACATGTTCAACTGTTTCCTTTACTTGGCATATTTCGCATAAACCAGTACCATGTTTCCCTATAATATGAAGCGTTGAATTAAGTTTTGTATGTCCCATCCTTAGTCTTGTTAAAATAACCTGATCCTCTCTCTTTAAATGTTGTGTCAATATACTTTGTCTTACAGTTTTATGTAGATTATAAAAATGTCTTCCTGTTTTACATTCATTCCACTTTCTTTGCCATTTCTGGTTGCAGGCAGCTTTAATAATACTTTTCCCTTCCATCCTGCTTAATGCAACTGTAATAGTAGGAATGTTCAATGTAAGTGATTCTTTAGCCATTCTATCAGCTCTTTCATTACCTGGAATATCTGCATGTGCTGGTACCCAAACAAATTTTATTATTGTTCCAGTTTGCCTTAATCGATACAACATATTCAGTATTTCTATATAGATGTCATATCTAACTGTTTGATATGTTTGTAGGCTTATAAGTGATGCCATTGAATCTGAACATATAACAACTCTATTTGGCATCACTTCTTCCACCCAACTAAGCGCCATCTGAATTGCCACCAATTCCGCTGTATACACAGAAGTCCCATCTGTTAATCTTCCATATTTCCCTATTTTAAATTCAGGAACATAAAATGCTGATCCAGTACGACCTATCTCTGGGTTTCTTGATCCATCTGTGTATACAGGAAGAAATGAGAAATAAACTGTTCTTAAATATTCAATTGTATAGCTCTTAATATCAAATTGTCTTTTTTTAACACTCTCATGAAAATTTCAAGCATGCTAAGAGTCTCAAAAGCATCCTAAAATAATTTCAAAGTATGAAGCTTTGCCACGGCAACAGTTTAAAAGATATCAAGAATCCATTCACAGGTCTACATCTATCGTATGTTTACATTAGGGTCAGATTCAAGTAGTGCATTAATCAGTATTAAGAACATGAAATCAGAAACAAGACAGGATATTTTGTTGGAAATAGCCCAAGCGGTTTATAGAATTAATAAAGTAGGAGTAATAATAAAATTCATTTGGATTCCAGCCCATATAGGAGTAGAAGGAAATGAAATTGCAGACAAATATGCCAAAAATGCAACCAAAAAATCAGAAACAGATATGGTAATAAGTTATAGTAAGGCGGAAGTTAAAAGCATAATCAAAGAAGAAATGAAGAAGAAGTGGCAAGAGGAGTGGAATAAAGAAACAAAAGCAAGAATGTATTACAGTATCCAGAAGAGGGTAGGAGGTATGAGGGAAAATAATAGGAATAAAAGGGAAGATGACATTATTTCAAGAATGAGATTTGGGCATACTGGATTGAATAGTACACTGAAGTTATTAGGGAAACATGAAACTGGGATGTGTGAGGTCTGTAATATCAATGAAACAGTAGAGCATGTTATTATTTATTGTCAAAAGTATAATGAGGAAAGGATGAGGCTGAGAAACTGGTTGAGAAAAGAAAAAATTAGATTGGATTTGAAGGAATTATTACAAATGAATTCAGGGCATGTAGGATATAGAGCCATATTTGTCTTTTTGAATAAAACAGCTCTTAGTAGAAGGATATAAATGTTGTTGTCTTAGGAAATTGTATTTATTGATAATGTATGAATATTAATGATGTTAATGAATATTTATTAAAGTTATTTATTGGTGTTATTATGGTTTTATGTATTTATATATTTATTTAAAGGGCAGTGAGGAAAAGCCATTTTGATCCACACTCCATATCAGAAGGTGGCGGTAATGCACACCTAAAAGTTGTTTGCCAACCGCCAATAAAAAAGAAGAAGAAGAAGAAGAAGAAGAAGAAGAAGAAGAAGAAGAAGAAGAAGAAGAAGAAAATGGATTAAAATGTTGCAACTGTGGAGGTGCTCACAGTGCAGCATATGGAGGATGTGAGGTACAAATTAAAGCAAGAGAAGTACAAAAATACAAGACGGAGCATAAAGTCACCTATGCGGAAGCAGTGAATATCTGCAAAAGTAAGGAGGACAGGAGGGAAGAGAGGAGGGATAATCTCAACCAAGATTCAAGGAACAAAATCGAGAAAACTAAGGAACCAGAGCAACAGTTTGTGATAAAAGAAAATACATTAATAATGACTAAAGAGAACTTTCTAGCCTTTATTTTTAAGGTAATTAATGTCACTGCTATGTTGCCAAGCAGATCGGCAAAGATTAAAACAATTCTAGAAGCTGCTTCAGAATTTCTAGGGATCTCTGGGATTTCAGTAAGTGCAATACATGAAATTCTAACCAGAGCAACATCAGTAGAAGTTGCACAAGTTTCTGAGTAGATTAATGGTGATACATGTAATGCAATGGAACGCAAGGAGCCTTGTAGCAAATGGTCAAGAATTTAAAAAATTTGTATTGGATTTGGATCATAAGCCAAGTATAATTTGTGTTCAAGAGTCTTGGCTCAAGCCAAACCTGCAATTTGCATTACCAGGATATAAGTCTATTCGAAAGGATAGAGTTGGGAAACAAGGGGGAGGGGTGGTAACTTTTATAAAAGAAGGAACTGTATATAGGGAATTATGTGAGGTAAAAGATATGGAATGTGTAGTGGTAGAAATATATTTTAGAGAAGATTCAATTGTAGTATATAATTTTTATAATCCATATAAGAAGATATCAATAAAATTGTTTGAAAAGATTAAGAAAGAGAAAAAAGAATTATGGTGTGGTGATTTTAATGCTCATAATTGGTTATGGGGGAGTAAAAATACAGATTATAATGGGGAAGTAATAGAACAGCTCATGGACGAAAGATCATTAGTTTGTTTAAAGTCCCCGTGAAATCAAAATTGAACCTATTTACTTTGTTAGCGCATATTACTAGTCTTGTGGTGAACAATTAATCCGTGCAAGTAAAAATATATTTAAAAAATGTTTTACCTTGGTAATCTTTAATCAAAATCTGAAAAGTTACTTCCGGTCTGGAACAGTTTCTTTTTCTGATGACGTAGGTTTCACAACTTGGGTGGGGAAACGCTTAACCACTCCCCTCAAACCGTTAGTTTGCTATGAGCGAGAGATGGAGAGGAGGAGCGCTAGAGTAAAACCCTGCCCTCTGTTCAATATTCCGTTTCACTTGGAAATACGTCACAGCACTGGAGAAAAATCGTTTGCAACTTCCGGTTCACGGGGACTTTAAACACAGGAGAAGGAACTAGGTATAATATAACAGTTAAATTAATATATTATTAATTTAACATTAATAACAAAATAGTATGGCTGAATTATGTGAATGGAAAATTAATGGGGAGAACACGGTTGGAAGTGACCATTTCCCAATTATTTGTAAAATGAATGTAGATTATAATCCAGAATATGTACTACAAAAGAAATGGTTGAATGAGAAGGCAGATTGGAATTCTTTCAGTAAGCATTGTGAAGAAAATAAAGATTTAATGGTAGAAGATTCAGTAGAAACATTTTGCGATTCAATTACAAGTATAATTAAAGCTGCAAGCAGCATTTTGCGGGGTTCAAGCAGTTTAGGCCTTTAAGGCCTTTAAGCACAAAAGCATCAAAAGACATTAAGTTTTATGTAGCAAGCATTATTTACCATGATAAACCATATTTCAATGTTATTTTTCATGATTTACCATGTTCTAGTATGATTTACCATGAATCTAACATGATTTTCCATAGTTTACCTTGATATACCATGTTATAGGATGGTTTACCACAATATAGCAAGTGAAAAGACTATTAATAAGAAAAGTGGCCAGCAGAGGGCAGTAGAAGACCACTTATTGGCACACTTCCATTTTGAAATGCTTTGTTTCTCCACTATTCTGCACTAAAGCAAACCATTTTTTTCATGTTAACTTCATAAAGCATGCTTACACACAAACGCACGCACACGCACACACACACACACACACACAAACACACACACATTTATAGTGTGTACAGTATATGTATAGTTTGACTGCAAAACATTAACAAAAAGAAATTTGTTAAATAAATTAACTATGCAAAATATAGTGTGTACTAGGGGTGGAGCCGAATACGGTATTCGGAAAGGCACAAATAATGTGTTTTTTACGAATACTTATTCCGAACAAATACTTAAAAAATATTTGTGTTCGGGAACAAGAAATACTGTATGTCAAAAAGCTGCGTTCCTCACGAGACCGCAGTGCGCGAGTTGAGTGAGCGACGTTCAGGAAGAGGTGACTGACACAGGCTGCTCCACACAGCAACAGAGAGGGCTCGGCTGAGCGAAAAAACACTTAACTGCATCACTATTTTTGTTGAATAGATGTTTGTACCTTAACTAGGTTCCAGAGGCAGTTTATAACTTTCGGGAAGCGGAGTTTGATCGGGAGTATATTCCATTATTGACGTCTGCAGACGAGTGCTCTCCTGTTCGCTCTGTTTACGTAGCTCTGTTAGCTCGGTAACGGTAATTATTTGTTTCTTATATGGCTTGGTTGAATTCTAATGTAGAGTGCGGTCTGTTATTATAACAGGCCGCTGCTTATAAGTATAACACACCGTTGCCATGAAAAACAGAGCGTTGCCATGGATTCTAAACGTAGAGACAGAACGGACTATTTTTCTTTTTTATCGGCAATCGTTTTTTAAATCAATAAACTCCTGTTTATATCTATATTTTGAGTCAAATTATTGATTTACTTGGTAGGTAGCAATGTAATAAGCAGGGTAATGTAGAGCGAGGCGGTTGTTATAGCAAATACAAACCCGCAGGCTTTGCGTAATCCCTAACTTATTCTGTCTGTTAAGCGTCCTTCACCGTGGTGTTGGGGTTCATAATGTTCACAATTGTATTTTATTAGTTGTTGGTTTAACCATGGTTCATGAGGTAATGGCTGACTGTTATTTTCTTCTCAATGACTTTTCTTGTTACATGTTCATTGCTGGATTTATAGAAAAACACCAACCAATATTGCATAATGGATATAATTAAATAATTCATAATAGTAATTGAAAAGATTTCCTTTCTAATCTCTTTCAACTCCATTTCGCTTTTTCAATGAGACTCTGCCACTTCACCATGCACGACTCACCTGTTGCCTATAAATTGATTGTGAACCCTTTGGCTTATTCTTTGCACTCTTTCCTGGCATTTTGATGCATAACTGTGTGTGTCTTCATGAATTACGTGAGTCCATCTATTAATTTGATTGTGTTTACATTGTTTATGCCTTTTTATGATTTAATGTCACTGTCAGCCTGTGCGCTGCTAATTGATTAATTTGTTTGCCAGACATGTGCCCTGAGCCATGTTGAAAGATAGTTTGTTTCAATGATTTTTTTACAGCCTGTTTTATTGTGATTAGTACTCATATCTTTGTTCATTTATATCATTGTTCCTTTTGTGTTGATTGATCACTGTCACCAATTGTATTATTTCTTTATCTCCTTATGCAACAACACACAAACAATGCATTGATCCAAAGTCAACAGGCACCTAAGACGAACTCTTATATTGCGCTGCATTACTGTGTTGTTGACTATTACTGACGGTAAGGTTGTACTGTTGACCCTCGCGCAGCCTCTCGAGCAGAAATCTACACAAATGAGCGCAGAACACACTCAGACCCCATTTACACCTGGTATTAAAATGCGATCTGTATCCAGATAAGTTATCCGGATAATAAAAAAACGCATGTTAATGCAAGGTGTAAATGCGTTGTGATCGCGATTGGATCTGCCTGACCACATCTGCAGGTAGTCTGGCTCGCATTGTGTCCGGATCTTTACTAGGTGTAAACGCAATCTGGTTGTTGAAACCACATATGTATATTTTACTCCTCCCAAAAAGGCAAAAAAATAATCGAGTAAGCTTGTTATATAGGCTATAAGTCATGTTATAGTCAGATATGACGGCGCTACTGCGACACGGATCACCCATCACCGCTCATGAGCGTCTATTCATCGAGCCAACGTGCAAACATCGCAAATAAAAGTGAAAGTAAGTCACAGACGCTTAACACACAATCATCTTCAAGTAAAGAAACGAAATTATCTTACCAGCGGTGTTGCCACTCTTTTATTGATGTCTTTGATTTGGAAATTAGCTGATGATCAACGAAATGCAGCTCATATCTGTTGCTTTTGGTGTCGTTCAATCCATTAAATCTGCATACGCGGGAGTTTAAGATCGGATTTATATCCGTTTTGCAAAAACACATGTATGTGGCCAGGTGTAAATGGAATCGGTACTTATTATCCGGATAACTTGTCTGGATACAGATCGCATTTTAATACCAGGTGTAAATGGGGTCTCTTATTTTTCCTGAACACCATCACGATTGAAAATGTGACATTGATTTCCTACAACAGTTCAATAAACAGTAAAAAATTAAATCACTTACATTTTAGATGCTATATTGGCTGTTTTTGTTGTGTTTCAGCAGCGAAAATAGTTCCAAACAACACAGCAGAACCACGGCACATGTCACAGGAACACTCGACGTGTTTTCATTACTGAATCATTCTGCATTTTGAACGAATCGATTGAGTCAAAGATTCAAAGACACATTCAAAAACATCGGTCTCATTCTTGAATGATCAGCCGTTTGAACGAATCGTTTGAATGAATGAATTGAATGACTCACTCATTAAGACGGTCGCCTGCCACCACCTACTGGCGGTTTAGTGTTAAATGTTTAAAAGTAGTATCATTCTTTTCCAGTTTCTTATGTAAATTTAAATAAATGTCATAACATTATTTTATGCAATTGTGTTTTTTCAGTGTAAATGATTTAATTTGATCAGCCCCTAGAGTAACAGCCCATAGTGTCTTATTATTCGAAATAATACACCAGAATTTATAGTTTACCCACCTCTTTTTTTTACCACTACACCTCTGACCATAGTGTACATTAATTTACCACGTTCTAGCATGATTTATCATTATTTACAGTGATTGGGGCTTGGATGATTGGATTTTAATGTGATTCTAGGAATATAGTATAGCTATTTACCACGTTAATAGCAATTATGTGAAGATTCAGAACAACTGAAGTGATAAACTTTGACAAAAAAAATGATTGTGATCAATATTTGACTAAATGTGATTGCAAATGTTAAAATAGATCATTAATAAAGTCATAATATTAATTATAGTTGAGTAGTGAGACACTTACTATTTTGAACAGCAGAGGGCAGTAAAACACCACTTATTGGCTTAATAGACCATCATTTTGATATCATTTCACCTTTTTTAACTGTTATTTAGGCATATTTTGTCAGATCTGTCTGAAAATGTTCATGATTATTTAATGTCACGTGTTCTGACTTGTTTATTGAAGAGATCAACGCTTTCAGGGACACTGAAAGTGTAGTAATAGATGGCTTCAACACACTAAATGTTGAAGCCATCCTATTATAGTCATCCACATGACGTAGTTCAACTTTTTGTTATAATTATTGATCTAGAGAGTCCAGAGAATTGTACTGCACTGGTTTTAACATTATGATATGATCAGAGATGGAAAACACCATTTACAGCCAATACTGGCAATTTACCATTGGAAATACATGGTTTTAAAGCTTTTTAACAGTTATAGCGCCACCTATGGTCCGATCTCCATGAAACTGTGCATGCTTCTTCAGCATGTTATGACACATATGCTCATCAATTTTTGTAAAGTTCTGAGTTTTTCTTTAGGATTTACAGGCTTTTGGGGGCTTTTTGTCACGCCCTTTTGTAAATGACCCTGTTATAGCAAGACAAATGACAAAGTTGAACTTTTTTTGGATAATTATTGATCAAGAGAGTCCAAAGAATTATCCTAGACTAGTCTGGTTCCGATCGGGCAAAAAACCAGGGACTAGTTCGCAAAAGTAGGTTTTTAACATATTCGTGAATATTTAACGAACGAATTGATTGACAGCAATGGTTCTTGAGGCAAAGTTGTTCATCATGAGGAGATCTATCAATTGATATACATTTTGTGGGGGTGTTTGCAACACCACGTGATTACAGAGCAATAAAACTCGTTAGCGCCAACTAGTGGCCGATTTCTTTCAAAATTTTTACAGACCTCTAGGGCCATGAGTCGAACATTCCCAACGAGTTTCGTTCCGATCGGCCTTCGTTAACCTTGTTTCATAGATGCTCAAACTTCATTGGCCGATGGCGGCCATGTTTTTTGAGATACACCAATGTCCTTATAGACTTGCATGACGCCTTGGACCAAGACACTGCATACCAATTTTCAAGTCAATCGGACTGACGGTCAGGTGTTTATCTGTTTTTTTCATTTTATAGCGCCACCTAGTGTTCAATCGTCGCGATTTTTTTACTGTCACCTCAAATTGAACTCTTACACATGTGTACCGAGTTTGGTGAAGATATCTCATTTACTTCTCGAGCTATAGCCATTTTAGTAAAATGGGCTCCTCCCACAACGTTTATTTTGCTTCCCCTAGCGACCGGAACGAGAAATTTCAACATTTTTTTGATAATTATTGATCTTCAGACTCCAGAGAACATTTCTGCACTGGTTTGGTTCCGATCGGGCAAAAAACCAGGGACTAGTTCGCAAAAGTAGTTTTTCGACAAAATTCAAAATGGCGGAAAAATTTGCATACCGGAAATGAAATCGGAGATATACGTTTTTTTCGTCAGGTGACCAGCTTTCCAATGATATAAGACACTTGAGTGTACGACTTACGGTCTAGGAGTTATGAACAGTTTCGCGCAATTGGTTGTTATAGCGCCACCTATGGGCCAATCGGGCTCATAATTTGATAACCTCTCCTCGATTTTTGTACTACCATCTGACAAAGTTTCAGAGCTCTAGCCCTTACGGTTTGGGCTGCACTATGCGTTTTAGGGGAGAATAATAATAATAATTAAAGCTGCAAGCAGCATTTTGCGGGGTTCAAGCAGTTTAGGCCTTTAAGGCCTTTAAGCACAAAAGCATCAAAAGACATTAAGTTTTATGTAGCAAGCATTATTTACCATGATAAACCATATTTCAATGTGATTTTTCATGATTTACCATGTTCTAGTATGATTTAACATGAATCTAACATGATTTTCCATAATTTACCTTGATATACCATGTTATAGGATGGTTTACCACAATATAGCAAGTGAAAAGACTATTAATAAGAAAAGTGGCCAGCAGAGGGCAGTAGAAGACCACTTATTGGCACACTTCCATTTTGAAATACTTTGTTTCTCCAATATTCTGCACTAAAGCAAACCATTTTTTTCATGTTAACTTCATAAAGCATGCTTACACACAAACGCACGCACACACACACACATTTATAGTGTGTACAGTATATGTATAGTATGACTGCAAAACATTAACAAAAAGAAATTTGTTAAATAAATTAACTATGCAAAATATAGTGTGTACTAGGGGTGGAGCCGAATACGGTATTCGGAAAGGCACAAATAATGTGTTTTTTACGAATACTTATTCCGAACAAATACTTAAAAAATATTTGTGTTCGGGAACAAGAAATACTGTATGTCAAAAAGCTGCGTTCCTCACGAGACCGCAGTGCGCGAGTTGAGTGAGCGACGTTCAGGAAGAGGTGACTGACACAGGCTGCTCCACACAGCAACAGAGAGGGCTCGGCTGAGCGAAAAAACACTTAACTGCATCACTATTTTTGTTGAATAGATGTTTGTACCTTAACTAGGTTCCAGAGGCAGTTTATAACTTTCGGGAAGCGGAGTTTGATCGGGAGTATATTCCATTATTGACGTCTGCAGACGGGTGCTCTGCTGTTCGCTCTGTTTACGTAGCTCTGTTAGCTGGTAACGGTAATTATTTGTTTCTTATATGGCTTGGTTGAATTCTAATGTAGAGTGCGGTCTGTTATTAGAACAGGCCGCTGCTTATAAGTATAACACACCGTTGCCATGAAAAACAGAGCGTTGCCATGGATTCTAAACGTAGAGACAGAACGGACTTTTTCTTTTTTATCGGCAATCGTTTTTTAAATCAATAAACTCCTGTTTATATCTATATTTTGAGTCAAATTACTGATTTACTTGGTAGGTAGCAATGTAATAAGCAGGGTAATGTAGAGCGAGGCGGTTGTTATAGCGAATACAAACCCGCAGGCTTTGCGTAATCCCTAACTTATTCTGTCTGTTAAGCGTCCTCCACCGTGGTGTTGGTGTTCATAATGTTCACAATTGTATTTTATTAGTTGTTGGTTTAACCATGGTTCATGAGGTAATGGCTGACTATTATTTTCTTCTCAATGACTTTTCTTGTTACATGTTCATTGCTGGATTTATAGAAAAACATCAACCAATATTGCATACCCATAATTATTATAATGGATATAATTAAAGAATTCATACACTATAAAGTAATAACTGTGGGTGTCTTCATGAATTACGTGAGTACATCAATTAATTTGATTGTGTTTACATTGTTTATGCTTTTTTATGATTTAATGGCACTGTCAGCCTGTGCACTGCTAATTGATTAATTTGTTTGCCAGACATGTGCCCTGAGCCATGTTGAAAGATTGTTTGTTTCAATGATTTTTTTACAGCCTGTTTTATTGTGATTAGTACTCATATCTT